AGTGGAGGAGAGCAGCCTGGTACTTGAGAAAGTAGGAGCAGATCTGGAAAAGAAGATACAGGCAGGTCTCATCAAGGAGTGGGAACAGGGCTTGTGGGTGTCTGTCCAGCTCAAAGGGAAAGTTTTGATCACAGTCAATGAAATTATTTACAATACTGCTCATGAAACAAAACCAATAATACGAATAATAATCAGGAAAGAAACTCAATGAATTGTTTTGTTCATTGACTCCTACATATTAGCACACTGACAAAATTCATAGAAAGCAAGTAAGACATTATAGAACAGAGACTTTAACTATAAGAGATTCATAGTGTAGAATTATAGCCATGTGACCCAATCATATTAAGATGTTAACCTATTTAGTGGTCTGTGACAATCACAAATGAGGATGTTGTAATTTCTGATTTTTGTCTCCTTTCTTCATTTCAAAGTAAGCAACATTTAAAAACGAGTTATATTTTTGTGCTTAAGGTATTATTTCAGTCCAATGAGAGAGTTTGTTTGTGAGCTAAAATTTGTCCCTTACAAACAAAAGATAGTTTGTTGCTGTTTGCATCCTGCTACACTGTTTTGAAAATGCATGCACAAATAGAAATGCTATGTATCCCCGCAGTGACAGAATTGGAGTTGTTGAAGTTTAGTGTCTTTGTTTTACTGTCACAGAGCAGTCATTGTTTATTTAGAAGTGTTACTTTAAACACAGGCCTGTATAGCATCACCGGAGACAGAAACAAAAACTGCTCCTGAATCGACTTGTACCCTCCTGAATGCAGAGCATTCTGGGAGTGATCATGTGTATTGTCCTACAAATGTATATCCCCTGGATCTGTTTCAGTCTGCTTGAGGCAGACTCTGTTCACTGGGGGATAAGAACTCAAAAGGAAAAATTTGAGCTGGGTGTGGTGGCTCATGCCTGTAATTGTAGTATTTGGAGGAATGGGATCAGGAGTTCAAGGTCATCTATGGATACATAGCAAGTTTGAGGTAGACTATATGGGAACTTGTCTAAAAAACCTAGGGGGAGGGATTGAGTTGACTATATCTGTTGTATCTGCATGTATTAAATATATACATATATATACATATGTATGTATGTATAGTAAACTAAACATCAACCATGACAATAGTTAGCATCTATCAGCAAAACTATATTTGGGGAGGAAGGTTTGTTACCACATATAATTTATAGAACTGAAAGTACCTGGTAATGATCAAGAGCTTGGGTATTGGTTTTCCTTTGTTTTTTTTTTCTCTATATTAAGACTACACTAGCTTCAACTGGGAAATTCTGAATTTCTGCTCTAGATATCTTTTCTCCACCTTACCCTAATTTGCAGGGGAGGAAGACGAGGAGATGAGTTGGCCTAGGTTTGGGATCTACCTGGATTGGGGAGGATGGAGGGTGGAAAGGCTATCCAATGTGAGAATCTCCTTCAGGAAGCCACATTAGGGGCTTAGGGTGGGTGACCCCAATCATGTGTTTCCTGTACCACAGATTCAGGATGTGGTGTTAGAGACAGCAATGGTTGGCTCTCCTGCCATGGAACCCCAGAATTGGATTGCATTCTTTCAACATTTTGTCTTCACTTTCTTCTGCTTTCTTTTTTGTTTGTTTTTCTGTCCCAGTATGTCCCCTAATCCTACTGTTTTATATCTTCACTAGACTTAGGGCCAGTAACAGTCTGGATCAGCTAACTGGGTCTCACACCAGATCAGGATTATTTGGGGTCTGAAAACACATAGAAACTGTAGTCCATGGGTAGGTGGAAGGGGCCTTGGACAGAAAGACCAGATGCAATGGGAGCATTCCCTTGAGGGCCCGAGGCTCCACTCCCTGCCCTGGTCTTGGCAGAGAGGCAGCCCCCATTTTTAGATGACACCGTCACCTCCTCATCCAAGTAGTTAGTTCCTTATAGTCACGATGGTGGCCTGGGGGATAAGGAAGCAGACATGTCCTTCTCCCTGCTCCTTTCCCCCTTCCTCCTGGCCTAGGGGTCCTATGAGGAGAACAGGAGGGTCATCTTTGGACCTTGTGTCCTCAGACACACCTTGCCCCTATTCCTATTTGCTGACTCCTGCCTGGCTTGCCTGCCCTGGCTTTCTGGTCACTGGCTCCCGGGCTTTTGGACTTCTTTTACTGAGAGAGAATAAGATTCGGACTCCAGGGGAGGGGGCACCCCTATTCCCAGGTGCTTGCCTTCCTTATATGGATAAGACACAAAAGAGGAAAGGCACTCCAACTGGGTGATCCCAGGCTACAGTCGGTCAGGTGCCTTCAGCTTCCTCTCTACCTGTGATTCTTGATGCTCTTCAGATACCCAGAATCCTTTGCCTGAAGGCCTTTGCACCTGCAGTTTCTCCCTGGAATGTCCTCCACCCTAAATGTCTGAAAGGCTCACGCTCTCACCCCTTTAAGTATTGCTCAGATATCTGTCTTAGGATACTTGCCCTGGCCATCTCATTCATCTAGAACTTCCTTCTTGATTCCCCACCCCTGCCTTCTTTTTGCACAGCATTTATCACTGAATACATAAAGAATTAATTACACATGTTTAAGTGCTTCATCTTTCTCACTAGGCTGTAAGCTGCCCCACCCCCACGCCACGGAGAAGGAATTCTGTCTATCCTATTGAAGGCACTATTTTCACCTCCTAGAATGAGGTCTGGTATTTTGGAGACACCACATGAATGTCTGTTGAATGAATGTCAACAGGCCTGGCCAGAGTGGGCACTGCTGTATTATGGGCCAGCAGTTTGCTGACTCAGCAGAGTGTTGGGCATCTCTGACTTATTGGCTCAGAAAGGTATTTGATGGCTGGCAGAATCCTGCCTCTCCTGGAAGCCTCAGCCTGGACCTTTGTCAGCTCCCTTTCTACTTTCTAATCTGTCCCTGTTCCCCTTTACACTCCACCAACTACCTGCTGCTCTGAACCTCTCTGAGGTGGCAAAGAGGAGTCCCCAGCCTTTGGGCCTCTGTGAAGGTGGGACTTCATCAGCGGAGAATATTCCTATCTGGATGGCCCGCAGTTCCAGAAGTCCTATCGTGTTAGGTTGACAGGAACGATCCTAGGGGAGGATTGATCTTGGCTCATCACTTTAGAGGACCCTGCCCACCGTCACTTGGACAGAGCATCATGATGGGGGAGTTTATGGTAGAGCCTCTCCCTTACTTACTGGCAGACAGGAAGTATCGAAAAGGAAGACTGCAGGAAGAGGCTAGGGCAGACATAACAGTAAGAACATACCCCTAACGACCTGACTATTTTAACTTGGCTTTTCCTTCTGTCAATCACCACCTCCACTAATACCATCATTAGGCATCCATTCCACAGGCCAGAGTCCTCGTAACCCAATCACCTCTGAAAAAGTCCTCACCAGAAGTATGCACTCCTAATCTAGGTGGTTCTTCATCTGGTCTAGTTAACAATTAAAATTAACCCTTACACGTATCTCCTATAAACTTACCCTCTCTCCTGTATCTTTCTTTTGTTGTTCTTGGAATTTGACAATGAGAAAGCAAAAGCTCATGACATGTGAACCCCCTTAGGGCATCATTGTGGCCTCGAAGAAACTCCTGGTCTGCCATGGGTGGCCAGCTTTCTAGAGTATTGATAAATCAAAGCCGATTTGGAAGGAAGAGAGAAGCAGCCGCTGCTGTGTGTCCAGCCAATTAGCAGTGTGCCCAGGGCTTTCCCAAGTGAGCATCCTTACCGTAATGATCCTGGGCCCATGGATCCCTCGCATGCTCTGCCTTGGAGATGACTTTCTTCAGTTCACATAGAGCAATGCATCAAGTACCAGTTGGGCTATATGCAAAGGATACTGCCTGTTCAAGACTGTTCAGGCCCCACCCACTCTGTACCTGCTGGCTAAGGGGAAAGGCTTTCTCACCTGGAGTTAAAATCCTTACAGGACATGGCAGGAAGCTGCCATCCTAGTGTGAGATAGAGAGAGGTCAGTGTTTTCTATAGAAAATTATTTTTATTATGTTAAGTAAGTGTGTGTGTGTGTGTGTGTGTGTGTGTGTGTGTGTGTGTGAAGGTGTCCAACTAGAGGTGTTGTATCTCCCTGGAGCTGGAGTTACAGGTGGTTGTGAACTATCTGACATGGGTGCTGGGAATCAAACTCACTGAGGTCCTCTGCCAAAGCTGCATGCACTCATGCTGAGGCTGAGCCCTATTTGTAGGTCAGTGTTTTCATTAGTGTTCAGAGATCTCAGAAATTAGAAGCCCACTCATGAGAGAGCAGCCAGCGTTTGAGTTTGTTGTAAGTGAACTTGGGGATCTTAGGTGAAGGATGAGCATCCAGGATTTGAGAGACACAGCGAGTCCCCAGGCACATACTTAGCACTTGACTCTAGGGTATTCAAGGTCCTTGGTGAGCCACTGTAACTACTCTCAAATTGTGGCTTTGGGCCATGGAGTTGATGAACCTTTTCACTTTTGATCTCTGTATCAGGAGTCTAGGAGGGCCCAGGAATCTTTGGGAGGAACTAGAAAGACAGATTGAGTCCTGGAAACTAACAGGGGATGCTGGAGAATCCCTGGGCTGGCAGTGGAACACCCTGACTTCCTGTAAATCTCGAGAGGAGGAGACAGGCAGCATCACTGAAAATGTTCAGGGATATAGAATGGGAGAAGTCATGGCCTGGGGTGGAGGACGGGAACCATAGCCAGCGGAACCTGGAAGAGAGGGAGTTTAGGCAATTGGCTCCCTTACTTCTCTCTGCCTAGACTCCCCAGGTGTTTCCACAGATGCCTCATTTAGGTAGCAAAGCTGACCAGAATTTAGGTTGGCAGTGAGCAGTAAGAGATGAATTCACAGATATGGAGCAGCCTTTAGGGCATGGAACAGGAGAGGGAGAAATAGAGAAATGTTGTGCTTACCCTCTCATTTCCCTTCCAAGTGCCTTAGAGATGGACTCTGATTGGAGTGGCTTTCATGAAGGCCACACCAGAGGAAACCTCAGCGATGAGCATCAACCTTTTTTTTTTCAGGATGAACATACCAAATGGTGCATGCCCAAGGGAACATGGACCAAGGCGCCAGTGCCATTGTGTCACAAATGACCAAGACCCATGGGCTAAGGTGAGTAGCCTTCCCTGGCTGTTTTCTCATGGTTGCTCCTACCTGGGCTTAGGGATATACATGTTGTGTCTCTTTGAAGACCTTTAAACAGGTACCCTAACAGCGAGTCTCTTCATAAATCATCAGAGTATTTTAAAAATAATTAAGACCTATGTGTGAGTATATAAGCATCTTTCCAAGTGTGTTCCAGTCCAGAAGAACACTGTTACTGACTTTGTCCTGGACCCTCTATGGATTCTGAGCCTGCATCCAGGACTCTATGATGGTCCTCTCCACCTGAAACCTTATGGCAATATTCCTTTCTGCCTGGGATTTTCTGAGAAATGTCAGGCAATATGGAGTCTTTAAAAGAGTGGTTCTTCCTAATGCTGTGGCCTTTAATTTAGTTCCTCATGTTGTGGTAGCCCCCCACTGTAAAGTTATTTTCACTGCAGCTTCATTACTGTAATTTTGTTACTGTTATTAACTGTAATGTGAATATCTGATATGCAGGATATCTGCTATGTGACCCCTGTGAAAGGGTTGTTTGCCTTCCAAAGGGGTCAGGATCCACAGGTTGAGAACATTGTTCTAAACCTTTACAAGGTTCGCAGATGAGCATTCACAGGCATCTTATTCTTGATGTATGCTTGCACCATGCTTTTGACTTTGCTGTGACTGGAGGCAGCATTAATACTGCAATTGAGAGTCCCGTCTTCTCAGCACAGGTCAATGTTGCCCCAAGAGACCTCTGAGTAGAACCATACTCGTACATTGGAGGCACTGGCCAGCATTTGAAGGCCTGGAGACCTTCAAAGGAAGAGGTTCCTTGTGGGAGGAAGTTCTTCTAAGTCTAATTTTTGGTGATGGGCGGGCCCTTCTGAGTGGGCCATCTAAGTCCCAGTTGTGCCTCAGCCAACACAGAGTCAAACTGGAATGACTTATTAACACCAAGGCATAGCCAAGGCTGTCTTGGTATGATTTAATCCTAGTTGGTTTATTGGGAGTGGAGTGTCTCTAGAGTTTGTCCAGAGGCCAGCATTCCCTGCTGTATATGATACAGGCAACAAAGCGAGCCTTCTCAGCTGGGGCAACAGTCATCCTGGTGTCAGCTGCGGGGGGGTGCGGCAAGCTGCCAGCTTTAAGGCCCTGGTTTGGAGTCGGCTGTCTAGACTGGGTCACCATCTGTGTGGGCTGTAGTCATATGGCTCTGCATGCCATCTGTGTGCGTGATTATGCCAGCCAGATGTGGGAATTGGGTTCCAGATGTATAGACTGGATTGCTAGCCAGCTGTGAAAACTGGGTTCTGTCTGGATGTACTGAGATGCTAGCCATGAAGATTAAGGTATAGAACTGTATGCCAGTTATATTTATTGTGGTGCCAGCCAAGTGTAGGGATGGGGGACAGGTATGGTGCTCAATGTGATGGGAATCCATGTGTGATGAGAGAGAGAGCCAGGTGTGGGGATGAGGAGCCAGGTTGGGGATCAGGGACAGGTATGGGAGTGAGGAGATGAATGTGGGGATTGGGAGCCAGATCCTGGAGATGAAGAAGGGAGTATGGAGACTAGTGTAAACTGGGTCTATCTGTGTTGACTTGGGATCCATCTGTCATAACAAAGGAGCCAGCAGAGACTGGAACCCATCTCAGCTGCCTGCTTTCCCACTTGTACTGCTGTTTGTGGACCAAGAAATTTCAGTCAGTCCAGGTCTCAAATCAGCTTTGCCCTGTGACTTCTGTTGCAGAATTGAAGGTGCGTCCATCTGACAGGAAGAAAGAAAATGTCCCTAAGAATAATACAGTGTCATTAGGAATGGTCCAGATCTTTTGGAATCAGGGTTTCAAGGCAAAGAATGACTGTTTATGTCAAGATGTTTATTTGGTTGACAAATGTATTTGTTGAACGCCTACAATGTGCCATTGTATGAGCTATGTCAGCAAAACCAAGTGGCCCAGAGCCAAGATAAAACACCTGGACTTGATTTTGTATTTGTAGAATTCTGCAATTATGAACTCCATGGCTGATACCAGAAGAGGTTAAGGAGAGTCTGACCATCATCCCTCCCTTCTCTTTAGTAACAGGCTTCCCTCTTAATCTGAAGAACCCAGTGGCTTACTTAACTGGGTCCATTCAGAAGTTGCCATGAGGAACCCCAATAGAGGCAGTAATGACAGAGCTAACTGGATATATGTATGTGTGTAGGGATACTCAGAGGAAATGGAATTGTTAAGGGCAAGAAGCAGGTGCCCAGATGAGGAGACCAGAATGGGTCTGCAAAGACATTGAGTCCTTGACTTATCCAGGCACCCATCTTAGTTGCTTCTCTTTCCAGCAATACCCTAGAACTTTGTCATATTACCTTAGAATAAATAAATGCTTCAGAAAACAACTAAATACAGGATATATATATGCACATATATATGTACACACACACACAGCAGTTGTAAGGCATTCCATAGGTGTCTGAATCCTTTGCATGCTATGGTTCTTCCCAATATATATATATATATATATATATATATATATATGTATGTATGTATGTATGTATATATAGTAAGGTTTACAGTAAGGTTAAATTTATAATTAGATACAGCAAGAAACTAATAAGTAATGCTAACAAATATATTGAAAATTATGTGAATGTGGTCTTTGTCTATATTGTGCTATACTTTTAGACTGTGCTTGTCCATGGGAAGTTGAAAACACAGAAGATAAGAGATTAGATGGGGAGTAATGCCTGTATATTCACTTCTTTAATTTTAAAAAAATTTATGTATATACTATTTTTAATTTTTTTTGCATGCATGTCTATGTACCATATATATGCAATCAATGCCTATGAAGGCCAGCAGAGGGTGTAGGTCTCTTGGAACTGGAGTTATAGATGGTTGTGAGCTGCCATGTGTGCACTGGGACTTGAACCCAGGTCCTTTGGAAGAGCAGAGAGTGCTCTTAACTGCTGAGACACCTTTCTAGCCCCTATATAGTCAATTCTTGTTATTCACAGAAGTTCATGTTCTACAGAGCTACCACAAGCACTGAGATGGTGGATTGTGAACTCCTGGGGTTCTGCTTCTGAGCACCCTGGAGAAACACAGACTTCTGCTCCTGCAGCCCACAGTCCCAGTTCAAGGGACCCACCAGCACCCTGCCTTTTATTGCTTTTTCTCTTTGAAGGCAAGTTAGTTAATGCATAGCTATTGATGAGCGTTGAGCTCACAGCCAGTAGTACAACTCATGCTTGAATGAAGCTGTCCTAGCACACATATTTTTTTTACTGTCAGACTCACCGCAGGCTTCTTGTACTTAGGAATACCGGGCCTTGTTTCAAGACATACTTGGGACAATATTAAAGAATAAATGATCAAGGAAAAGCACCAAAATGCAAAAGAAAGTGACACTAAGACAGAAGATGGTGAGGATATTTACAGTGTGGGGCGGAAAACACAGGGCAGAGGATGGCCTGCTATCCTCTCCAGAAACACAGATGCATTGTTGAAAGGAAAGGCTTGCTGTTTTACATGTGGTTGATAATAATAATGAGGCTCAACTGAATAGTATGTGTAGGCATGCCTGTATGCACATTTGCACCCACACATGTACACATAGGAACACACACAGACATGCACACAGAAACATATACACACCTTCATATATACACATTGACAGACATACACAGACACACAGAAATATACAGCTACACAGAAATGTACAGACACACAGAGAAGCACACACACACATATAATCATGCAAAGACACATACACACAGACACATAGGCATGCACACAGACACACACATGTGTGCAAACACATACACATAGATGGACATACACACATAGAAGCAGACTCAGACATACACATGTGCAACAACACACACACACACACAGACACACACACCACATGTGGCTTATTCTGAAGCTGGGTCATCTACTTAGAAGCAGAAGGTACCAATTAGACATGACCTAGCAAGCTGAGTATGTTGACATGTGCCTATAATTCTAGCAACCAAAGGCAGGAAGGTCTTGACTTGGGGGCCAGCCTGGGCTGCATAGACACTGTCTCAAAACAGAAATAAAATTAACCTGAACATTCTCTGGTATTCCATAGTAGAGTCCTGTGAAATGAGACCTGTTTCATACAAGATTTTTAAAAAATGAATTTCAGTGATTTCGAGTAGGGGAAGGGAATGATAGATATTGATGTTTCTAATCTGCAGTCCCATAGTCCTATTGGGCTTAGCAGGAGGTAAGCTATTGCATTCCTTAGGATAGACTCCAGGAAGAACTTACCAATTCTTTACAAGAGGACAGGAAATAGTAACACAAAGCAGAGCCTAGTGTGACTACAGTATGCTTAGAAATGAATACTTAGGAAGCACCAGGTGCTAGGCCTTGCAATGACCCTGGGAGAGGGGAATCCTAGTAGATACTCAAACAGCTCTGGTGCAGAGTGTGGGGAAACCATGCTGGCCCATCCCAGTATAGTGCATCCTACACTGGACACTGGGAAGACCCTTCCTGTCTCTGTCCTACTATTTTTCTGCTTCTACAACCAGGCAGTTGGGCATACTCTCAACCACCTCAGGCCTAGGAGACTGGAACTGCCACCTAGCCATACTCACAACTTCCTCAAGCTTGAGGAGACCAGAGCTGTCACCTAGCCATGGCCTGAGAGTGTCACAGAGAGGGATAAACACTTGTGGTTATACATCTGGTACTGTGTCCAGTCCTAGGCCCTGGGTGAATAGAAGGGTGTGTAAAGTGATCTTTTCTGGGTGCTTTTCCCTGTCACTATCCTGGTGTGATGATCTTACCTAGCTCCCTTTAGGTGGGAAAAAATGATTTGATATTGGTGATGAACTAATAATGGTAGCTGTCATTTTTTAGCATTAGTGAATCCTAGGCTTTGGGTTGTTTTATTTTTTAATATTAGCTTCATCAGAATAACATACATACTTCAGTTTCTGACAAACATTTTATTTTGAAAAAAATTAATGACAGAAAAACTGAAAGACAAGT